GCAACCCTATCACAGGGTTTTCTTGGCAAGATTTGTATAGAGTGGGGTAGCTTTCCTCTGAAGCTGAGAGAGTGTGAGTTGCCCAAAGTCACTCAGTGAGTTTCCATGACAGAGCAGGGATTCAAACCCTGGTCTCTAAATTCATAGCAACACTCAAACCACTACACCACACTAGCTCTCAGAATGAGGATAGTTGAAACTTTAAATATCTTGCATAGGACTGAATTATGCTTTGTGTGCAGGAAATCTGTTCCATGGAACTGAATGGTGCTTTGCATAAAGGAAAGCTGTCGCACCAGGGTCACTACTGAGTAGACATAAGATAAGCTGTGCTTATATGCTTGCTAGGAAAATGTCCACATAACTAAGAATTGCATCTAGTTCAGCCTACATTGCTTTGGCCTTGTCCACTCTATCCTTCCCACTCTATCCTTCTCACTGCTGAAATGTCGGCCCCCATAATTTTACCAAATTTGTTTTAATTCCCAACCAAAAAGGATTTGCTACATCTGTATTAGTGGAATAATAAGCAATGCCAAAAGGATAAAGATTTTTAAAAATTACTCATTTTGGATGGCTTACATTTTTCAAAGAGGTCGCACTAAACCTGCATGTGAAATACTCAGTCCTTGGAAAAGTTACTATGTTGAACTGTAGCTCCCAGAATCCCTAAACCAGCATGGGATTATTGGAGTTTCAGTAAGTAAGCTTTTACAAGCTCCAGAAGCATTGAGTAGATCCTCAAGTGGTGTTCATTCCTAACCTTATTTTCATTTGTGACACTATTAGAAGATGAATACAGACTAAGTCTCTCTTATCCAAAATGCCTAGGACTAGAAGTGTTTAAGATTTCAGATTTTGGGGGGAGGGATTTTGATTATCTGTATATACATAAGGAGATATCTTGGAGATGGAAAATTCATTTATGTTTTGTATACACCTTATAAACATAGACTGAAGGTAACTTTAAATATGTTTTATTATTATTATATTGCATGAAATAAAGTTTGTGTACATTGAAGTATCAGAAAGCAAAGGTGTCACCCCCGCGAATATGGAAAATTCAAGAACAAGGCAAGCCCCACCCACCTCTTCTTCCGAAGGCTACAGCTGTCCAGGCATGGGAGGAGAGGCCAAGGGCACCCACACGTGAGCCCCACTCACCTTCTCCTGTGCCTGGGATAGCTCTGGTCAGCTGTCCTAGGCATGGGGGGGGAGGTGGGCTGGGCTCACATGTAGGCCCCTGGCCCCTTAGATCGCGAATAACCAAATTTGTGAATCCCAAGTCTGTGAATGGGAAGGGCAAACTGTATTTCAGCCACCCATGTGGACTATTTTGGATCTGGGAATATTTTGGATTTTGGAATTCCAGATATGAATAAGGGAGACTTAACCTGTACAGTTGCCCCTCCATTTTCACAGACTTTGAGTTTGCGGTCTTGGGTCTTCACGGACTGGCAAGCCCCACTGGTTAAAATGGTGTGTGCGCGGCCAATGGGGCTTGAATATCTGGGATTTTCCATTTTCACAGGGTGTGGTGGTCCAGAACGGATCCCCGCGAAAATGGAGGGGTGACTGTATTATGAAACTGCATTTGAAACAATGCATATCTGTTCTTTTGAGAATTACTGAGAGCAATTACATTTTTTAGTCTATTTCTCATTCTACAAACAGCATGCACACACATATCTGTTTTGTAGAGAGGAAGAAATGACAGTATCAGAAAACTAACTATCATGTTCAGAAGCCTTGAAACAAGCTTTATTAGCACATTTTCAGTACAAATGTAACCAATTTTTTTTAATCACAATACAGAAGCACGCACATCAAAATGGTGATAGGGACAGGATGTTTTAGAACTGTTGCTTATATTGTCACTTAAAGATTAATGTCCTTTTGCTGATCAGCCACTGACTATTCATATTCTTGCTGAAATCATTTATGGATCACTTCACTAGGAATGGGGAGGTCATTAAGAACAGCCAATATATTTTCGACTGCTTCTTCTGTCATCATACGGAGAGCTTGCACAGTAGCAGTTCCAATGTGAGGAGTTATAATGACATTCTTCAATTTCAACAGCAAGTGGTCTCTACAGGAGAGACAGGGAAGAATCATTAGTAGACTCATGTCACAGGCAGATTAACTGGAATTGCTTTGCTATGCAAAAGCAGTTGGAAAGGGAGATGTGTAAGCTGAAGTAAAAAGAGGATGATCCATGCTATTAAAGAGGTTTTAAAGCTATAGCTATTATTGTTGTGTGCCTTCAAGACATTTTTGACATGGCAACTCTCAAGTGAACCTCTTATAGGGTTTTCTTAGAAAGATTTGTTCAGAGTGGGTTTGCCATTGGACCTTATC